CTGAAGCTAGTACGGGTAGCCTATCTCTAGGGAAGATGGTAGCCATCTTCTTGGCAGAAATGACATGAACTCCGAGTCAAGTTTCAATGTAAGTATGCTTCCTTGTACACCAGGGATTGTATTACACCAGGAAAGTTTTCCCCCAAATGATGCTACATTTAAATTTGTTGGGAACAAACCACCTGTCTTCAGACTCCCTGACGTCCTGATCCAGGTTGATGAAATGAATCTGAACTGAGTTTTCATTCTCACCTCTTTGCAGCTCACTCCTCTGCCTGCCCCTGACTTCTATTAGGGTCCCCTCCTCTCCCAAGTTCCCCATGCTATTAACTACTTTCTTTTTCTACTTTTTGTTTTTTGGAAACAGAGTTTCTCTATGTAGCCCTGGCTGTTCTGGAGCTCACTATGTAGAGCATTCTGACCTTGACACTACAGAGATCCACCTGCTTCTGCCTCCCGGGTGCTGGAATTAAAGGTACGCACCACCACACTCAACCCTAATTTTTCACTTCATTTTTATTTTATGCTTTGTATGGCTGTGCACAAAGTGCCCAAGGAGGCTGGAAGACAGACGAAGACATCAAATTCTCTGGGACTGGAGCTATAGCTGGTTGTGGGTCACCTTGCGGGTGATGGGAATCGAACCCGAATTCTCTGGAAGAACAGCTGGTGCTCTTAACTGAGGCCCCACTAACTGCTTTTCCTGCTCCTTTAAGTCTAGAGCAGCAGTATCTTGCAGAATTGTGCAATTTTTTAAGTTTCCCCACACCCTGCTTACACTTATGTAAAGTAGTCTCTTTATTAATCTGGCCACTAAAGATGCCAAATGTTATCTCTTTCTGGCCAGGACATAATTAACACATGTATAGGCAGGGAAATGAAAATCCCTCATGTCACATGACAGATAATTTGGGGCACCTGGGGGTGTTAGGTCAGGGGTCAATGTGACATCAGTGAAATAGGATAACTGGTCAAGATGGATTAAAGGCATGGCCATAGAGAAGCATGAGAAGTGTTGGCACCGACAGGGAACGAACCTTCAGTCTAGCACAGGCAGAAGCGGCCTGAGGCATTCCCTTCTTCCTTGGGGACTCCTGCTTGAATCCTTGAGTATGCAGAAAAGAATTCCAGGATGAGTCACAATGAAACAAAGCCAGTGATTTTACGTGTTTAGATGGATAGTCACGTAGAGTAAGGATACAAGACGTGGGTGTAGGTATCAGAGGGGAGAGCCCTGCTTTGGTGTCTTTACGTTAGCTATAAATATGATCTTTGGCTTTCCAAGTTACGGTTTCTCAAACAATGTAATTTATATCAAAATTTAAATATAAAGCTTGAAACTCAGGTTCAGGTTTGAAAGCTAAGTAAAAATGTTCGAACTGGCTTGCTTTTTGTTTGTTTGTCTGTTTGCTTTTTGTTTGTCTGTTCTAGAGAAAGTTTCTCTGTACAGCCCTGGCTGTTCTGGAACTCTCTCTGTAGACCAGACTGGCCTTGAACTTACAGAGATCCTCCTTTCTCTGCCTCCTGAATGCTAGGCTTAAAGGCATGTGTCATGAGTAGCTTGGCTTCCTTTTACTATCTCAAAGATTTTTATTTTGGAAATGAAATTGTAAGGTAGAAGTGATTTAAAAAAAAGATGTATTTTATGTTATGTTTATTATCTGTATGTGTGTGTGTATGTGCACATGTGTGTGGGTGCCAGGGGAGGCCAGAAGAGGGCATCAGATCCCCTGGAGCTGGAGTTACAAGCAGTTGGTGCTGTTCAACATGGATGCTGTGAACTGAACTGGAGCCCTCTGCTGAAAGACCCCCGAAGAGGTACTTTCGTAGAAGGAGACCCGCACCCAGGAATCAGCGAGGCCACGAACTTGGATGCAAAAGCAAGAGGCTTTATTGGAGACGCGAGTACCCGGGGCGACTTAGCTTCTGTGTGGCTAAGCGCGCCGAGCCAAGGGAAAGGGGTCCTTATATAGGGAAAAAGGCGCAAGCTAGGAGCAGGGATTCTATTGGATAATTCTAATGAGGCATTGTACAGAGCTATTCCCATTGGTCAATGTATATGAGGCCCTATACAGGGTTATTCAAATGAGGCAAAGTACAGAGTTATTCAAATGAGGTGAAACATAGAGTCTTTCAAATGAGGCGAAATACAGAATCATTTCCATTGGATGGTTCAAATGAGACACAGAGCCATTCCAGATCAGCATATTCTCAAGGTCTGGTGTCTGGTACAACAGACTCAATTCCCCCTCCCTCCGCGTCCAGATGGCTGACCTTGGGGGCGGAGACCTTGGGACGGAGTGTTTCTCTTCGGGCGGGGCGGGGGCTCAGGGGCAGAGCTCCAGGCCGGCTCACTCGGTGTTTGTTCTCGTGC